ACTTGTGAAAATTTGAGTGACACCATTCAAAACACAAGAGTTGTAAAAAACGAGTGACTGGTTTTGAGGAGTTGGGAGAGCACAGAAAGTCTGTGTCTTCATGCTTGACCTTTGACTCTTAAGTGCTTTTCCTTTTTGAGGGCTGCTGTCTAGCTTAGCTTTGGAACTCCAGGAGAGAGTGACATATTTTCCTTGGTTTAAAATAGCCATGATGCTTTTCAGTTTTATTTTGCTGTCATTTTTTTGTTCTAACTTTTCTGTGCGCTTGGGGAATTGATAATGTGAGGCCTGAAGTCATTGCAGCAGGCTTCTCCTGGGCTGTGCTTGTGGTTTCTGAAATGTTTACCTTGGGGCACATGGTGACAGTGTGCTGAGGAGGGGGCTAGCTGGGTTCTGCCCTGCACTGCCGCTGCTGTGAGCTGCTGTGAGATTAAAGCGGCTGGGAGGAGTCCCCTTCTCTTCCTTGTTAGCTGTTCCTGTTCTGTCAGGTTCTCACACTCTGTAAAGCTCAAAGAAAACATGTGGGTTTAAAACATCTTTTGCACTTAGTGTTCTTTAAGTCTGTATGTGTGTAAATGTTTGTTAATGTGTTTTGTGGCCAGTTTTCTCAGCACCGTTCAGTTCATTGCACATATTCTTTTTGGTCATAAATTTGTGACTGTTCTTGGATTGTCAGTTAGTTTAGTATCTTGTTAATGTCATGCCCCTCCCTTTTAAAATCACAATGTAGGTTTTGGGGTACATATGAAGGACATGCAAGATTGTTGCATAGGCACTCACATGGCAGTGTGATGTGCCTTCCTCCTCATCACCTGTATCTGGCGTTTCTCCCCATGCTATCTCTCCCCAACTCCCCACCCCCTGCTGTGTCTCCCCTTTTCCCCCTAAACAGACCCCAGTGTGTGATGCTCCCCTCCCTGTGTCCATCTGTTCTCATTTTTCAAAACCCAACTATGAATGAGAACATGCAGTGTTTCTGTTCTTGTGACAGTTTGCTAAGAATCATGGTTTCCAGGATCATCCATGTCCCTACAAAGGACACGAACTCATCTTTTTTGATGGCTGCATAGTATTCCATGGTGTATATGTGCCACATTTTCCCTGTCCAGTCTATCGTTGATGGGCATTTGGGTTGGTTCCAGGTTTTTGCTATTGTAAAAAGTGCTACAGTGAACATTCATGTGCATGTGTCCTTATAGTAGAATGATTTATAATCCTTTGGCTATGTACCCAGTAATGGGATTGCTGGGTCAAATGGGATTTCTATGTCTAGGTCCTTGAGGAATCGCCACACTGTCTTCCACAATGGTTGAACTAGTTTACACTCCCACCAGCAGTGTAAGAGTGTTCCTATTTCTCCACATCCACTCCAGCATCTGTTGTCTCCAGATTTTTCAGTGAACACCATTCTAACTGGCAGGAGGTGGTAACTCAATGTAGTTTTGATTTGCATTTCTCTAATGACCAATGATCATGAGCATTTTTTCCTATGTTTGTTGGCCTCATATATGTCTTCTTTTGTAAAGTGTCTGTTCGTGTCCTTTGCCCACCTTCGAATGGGCTTGTTTTTTTTTCTTGTAAATCTGTTTTAGGCCGGGCGCGGTGGCTCAAGCCTGTAATCCCAGCACTTTGGGAGACCGAGGCGGGTGGATCACAAGGTTGAGAGATCAAGACCAACCTGGTCAACATGGTGAAACCCTGTCTCTACTAAAAATACAAAAAATTAGCTGGGCATGGTGGCACGTGCCTGTAATCCCAGCTACTCAGGAGGCTGAGGCAGGAGAATTGCCTGAACCCAGGAGGTGGAGGTTGCGGTGAGCCGAGATCACGCCATTGCACCCCAGCCTGGGTAACAAGAGAGAAACTCCGTCTCAAAAAAAAAAAAAAAAAAAAATCTGTTTTAGTTCTTTGTAGATTCTGGATGTTAGCCCTTTGTCACATTGGTAGACTGCAAAAGATTTTTCCCATTCAGTTGGTTGTCGATTGACTCTAATGACTATTTCTTTTTCCGTGCAGAAGCTGTAGAGTTTGATTAGGTCCCATTTGTCTATTTTGGCTTGTGTTGCCAGTGCTTTTGGTGTTTTGGTCATGAAGTCCTTGCCTGTGCCTATGTACTGAATGGTTTTGCCTAGATTTTCTTCTAGGGTTTTTATGGCGTTAGGTCTTATGTTTAAGTCTTTAATCCATCAGGAGTTAATTTTAGTGTAAGGTGTCAGGAAGGGGTCCTGTTTCTGCTTTCTGCACATGGCTAGCCAGTTTTCCCAACACCATTTATTAAACAGGGAATCCTTTCTCCATTGCTTGTTTTTGTCGGGTTTGTCAAAGATCAGATGGTGTAGATGTGTGGTGTTGCCTCCAAGGCCTCTGTTCTGTTCCATTGCTCTATATCTCTGTTTTGGTACCAGTACCATGCTGTTTTGATTACAGTAGCCTTGTAGTATAGTTTGAGATCCGGTAGTGTGATACCGCCTGCTTTGTTCTTTTTGCTTAGAATTGACTTGGCTATGTGGGCTCTCTTTTGGTTCCATATGAAGTTTAAGGTGTTTTTTTCCAGTTCCGTGAAGAAGGTCACTGATAGCTTGATGGGGATAGCGTTGAGTCTGTACATTACTTTGGGCAGTATGGCCATTTTCACGATACTGATTCTTCCTAACCATGAACATGGAATGTTTCTCCATCTGTTCGTGTCCTTTGTTACTTTGTTGAGCAGTGGCTTGTAGTTCTCCTTGAAGAGATCCTTTACGGTCCTTGTTACTTGTATTCCTAGGATTTTATTCTCTTTGTAGCAATTGTGAATGGCAGTTGGTTCTTGATTTGGCTCTCTTTAAGTCTGTTACTGGTGTATAGGAATGCTTGTGATTTTTGCACATTGATTTTGTATCCTGAGACTTTGATGAAGTTGCTTATCAGTTTTAGGGGATTTTGGGCTGAGACGATGGGGTCTTCTAGATATACAATCATGTCATCTGCAAATAGAGACAATTTGACTTTCTCCTTTCCTATTTGAATACCCCTTTTCTTGCCTGATTGCTCTGGCTAGAGCTTCCAATACTGTATTGAATGGGAGTGGTGAGAGAGGGCATCCTTGTCTAGTGCCAGATTTCAAAGGGAATGCTTCCAGTTTTTGCTCATTCAGTATGATATTGGCTGTGGGCTTGTCGTAAATAGCTTTTATTATTTTGCGATACATTCCGTCAATACCTAGTTTATTCAGGGTTTTTAGCATAAAGGGCTGTTGAATTTTGTCAAAGGCCTTCTCTGCATCAATTGTGAGATAATCGTGGTTTTTGTCTTTGGTTCTGTTTATGTGGTTTATTACGCAAGTCTGTAAAATTAGGTTTATAGACTTGCGTATGTTGAACCAGTGCATGACTGGGATGAAGCCTGCTTGATCATGGTGGATAAGCTTTTTGATGTGCTGTTGCAGTCGGTTTGCCAGTATTTTATTGAAGATTTTTGCATCTACGTTGATCACGGATATTGGCCTGAAGTTTTCTTTTCTTGCTGAGTCTCTGCCAGGTTTTGGTATCAGGATGATGATGTTCTCATAAAATGATTTGGGAAGGATTCCCTCTTTTTGAATTGTTTGGAATAGTTTCTTTCTTTTTTTTTTTTTAAATGAGAAATTTCATTTTTATTGAATAAAAACATGATTATACAAACATGAAAATGTATTCAAATATTTGAATACATTAAATTTTTTTGCAACTTCATATGCTTTATATAAAAGCATTGAGTTCAAAGCAGTATTATGCTTGGTAATAATTACCAAGATTCTGATTTTGCTATACTTTTCATCAGGATTTCTGGGACACCTCCCAACTAAACATATTAAGATTCTACAAAAATAAAAGATGACAACAGTCTTCCAAATAAGAGCAATCTGGGGGTGAGAAACAGCAGGACACATTTAGGTTACAAAGTTTGTAAAACTTAATTCTTGGCCAGGCACGGTGGCTCACGTCTGTAATTTTAGCACTTTGGGAGGCCTAGGCGGGCGGATCACACTGAGGTCAGGAGTTTGAGACCAGCCCTGGCCAACATGGCGAAACCCCATGTCTACTAAAAATTCAAGAAGTAGCTGATGTGGTGGTGGACGCTTGTAATCCCAGCTACTTGGAAGGCTGAGGCAGGAAAACTGCTCACCTAGGAGGTGGAAGTTGCAGTGAGCTGAGATCGTGTCATTGCACTCCAGCCTGGGTGACAGAGCAAGAATGGATCTCAAAAAGAAAAAAAAATTCTTATAATTCCCTTTCAAAATGCACATTGACCATATTTTAAATACTTATCTTAAATATCTAGAACAAATTTTTTCTCAATAGCTCCCCAATCCACAAAAATCCTAGTGAAATGGATAGCAAGTGTGTACTGAGAAAGTGCTATGAACACTGGCTATATGTGCGACGTTCAGATTGCCACACTTCCTCTGAGTAAAGCAATTAGGACAGAAACATGGACTAGAGCCTGTATAATTTACACTGTTGTGAAGGTTGTTATGTAGGCATAAAATTGTCATATAATGTCTAAAGACCTTTTCCTGGACCTACAATATTAATCATGCTCATTTTAGAACAGTTGGGAAATAGAGAAAAATACAGAAAAGAAAATAATAACACTGTAATCTTACCACAGAGATACCTACTGGCAACATTTTGGTGTTCATTTCTTGTCTTTTTCCTAAGCATACAAAAATACAAATATATACATAGAAAAATGCAGTTATATTGTTGACAGAATCTGGTATTTTGCTTTCTTCACTGATACAATGGTCTTGTGTTGCTCTCCCTGCCCTTTATATATTCTTTTTTAAAATTTATTTTATTTATTTTTAAAAATTTTTGTTTCTAAGATGGGGTTTCACCATGATGGCCAGGCTGGTCTTGAACTCCTGACCTCAGGTGATCCACCCACCTTGGCCTCCCAAAGTGCTAGGATTACAGGCATGAGCCACTGCACCTGGCCACCCCTTTCTATATTCTTCATCAGAACTCACGTTAATTGCCAAATCTTTCATTGACTGAATATACGATAATGTAAAATAATTTAAATGGTATTTATGACTTTATAGCTTTTAAGGTTATATTTTGTATATTCATTTTTGTTATTTTGTGTAAAATTTTATACAGAATGCAAGTATATATCACATTTTCCACAACTGATGCTTCTTCAGCATGCAGTTCACTAGTTCAAGGCCCTGTTATGCTTCCCTAAGTCCTCAAAGGCTGGGAAGGGACAGCAGGTTAGACACTGCACAAGGATATTACAGAAGGTCACATTCCAAAACGTCCAGTTGAAACTGACTGATTCCATTTTAAGTCACACATGGATGACTGAAGGCCTGTTTGTAAAGTTCACATGCTGAACTCCTACAAGCTGTAAAACAGAGTTGATAGGTTTGTGATCCAACCTATTCCTATCACGGTCTATAAAATGGATGTTGTTACCTGGACCTAAAATGAGGGTTCCACCTTGCTGAGCTGGGTCTCCTTGAAAATTAAAGAGAGGGCCGGTCACTGCCCGCCACAGGCTCTGAAGGCTTCCTGAGAGTAGATTTGACTTTATGTGGGGGCTCTGTCCTGAGGAGGCAATTTCTTCACCTCTTTTCATTCCCAATCTTTTATAAATTTCTCTCTCAGGATCGACATAGATTTCATGAGAATATCCAGTCAGTTTGCAGAAAGACTCAATATGATGGTAGGATGACTGTCCGATCACTATCAAGGTGACATCTGCTTCTTGTAAGAAACTCTTGGGGATTCTGGCCAGATCCTCCACGTATTTCTTGCAGATGTAACACAGGAAATGCCGCATGAACACCACCACGGTGCGGCGCTCCCGGAACAGTGCGCCGAACGGCACCTGCTGCCTGCGGGCGTCCAGCACCGGTAGCTCGGCCACGGCGGCCGCCAGGGACTGCCCGCGCTCGGGGTCGCTTGGGGCCAGGACCCGGGCGGCGCCACCGCTAACCTGCCGTGTGACTACAGGTGTGAGCCACCATGCCTGGCCAGGAAATGCTTTTAAATGGTCACCTCCAAAGGGAGATGTAGAGTTATGCATAATTAGTTTTAAATGTATTTGTAATGTTTCTTCACCTGGGTAGATATGTCGTAGATATGTCAGAGTACTTAACTGACATGATGTGCAGGCTCTGGCTGTAAATTAGAAAGTTACTAAATAGAATGCTTGGATTTTATTTGAGTTGGATGAAGTTTTTGTGTCCTGGAGAAATTCACAAAATGTTTGTAGTTTTGGATAAAAGGTTATGATTTAACATCTTTGCTTTTATTCTTGTCTGTGAGATGGATTCTTGCTCTTTTGCCCAGGTTGGAGTGCAGTGGCTTGGTCTCCACTCACTGCAGCCTCCACCTCTCAGGTTTCAAGTGATTCTTCTGCCTCAGCCTCCTGAGTAGCTGGGATTATAGGTGTCTGACACCACGCCAGCTAATTTGTGTTTTTTTTTTTTTTTTGAGATGGAGTTTCGCTCTTGTTACCCAGGCTGGAGTGCAATGGCGCAATCTCGGCTCACCGCAACCTCCGCCTCCTGGGTTCAGGCAATTCTCCTGCCTCAGCCTCCTGAGTAGCTGGGATTACAGGCACGCGCCACCATGCCCAGCTAATTTTTTGTATTTTTAGTAGAGATGGGGTTTCACCATGTTGACCAGGATGGTCTCGATCTCCTGACCTCGTGATCCACCCGCCTCAGCCTCCCAAAGTGCTGGGATTACAGGCTTGAGCCACCGCGCCCGGCTTTTTTTTTTTTTTTTAAGTAGAGATGGGGTTTCACCATGTTGGTGAGGCTGGTTTTGAACTCCTGACCTCAAGTGATCTGCCCACCTTGGCCTCCCAAAGTGCTGGATTACAGGTGTTAGCCATCATGCCCAGCCTTGTTCTTGGCTTTGATAGAACAGTGGCAACAGTAAGAACTGTTTGCACAGTACCTATGACCGTCTTAACAGTATTTTATTTGGGGAGAGGGCATTGACTGTGGAACGTAGGCAGTAACTTGCACAATCAGTAACTGTTGGAGTAACGTCTTGTTGGCATACCTGTTCTGGCACTCCTCCTCTAGGTCTCCCCCTCGGGCTGGCTTGTGGGTGGAGGTTGTTGGCATGGGGTATCTGGGCACTGGCTGTGCATGCCTCCTTCCTCTCCTGTCTCTTGGGCACCTCTTCCAAAAAGTCACCAGTGACCAGTTCTCCCATTGTTTGTTTCTTCAGACTCAGTGTCTTGGACTTGGCATTGGTTAAAGCTGACTGGCGAGTTTCATTTCAATGAGCTCTGTAATAGACCGGTGTAGACCTCTGTTCCTCCTTCTCTGGAAGCTTTCTCAGCCTTTGCTCCTCTCTGTTTACTGTTGTGGGTCCTGAGGGTACCCAGCATCTAGGGTTTTGGGTGCTCACCTGCACATTGATTCTTTCTGGCTGTGGGCAGAGTCACCTCAGGTGCTGCTTTTCTCCAGTGACTTAATTTTTTTGTTGTTTTTGAGAACCAAGTCTCGCTCTGTTTCCCAGGCTGGAGTGCAGTTGGGCGATCTCAGCTCACCACAACCTCTGCTTCCCAGGTTCAAGCGATTTTCCTGCCTCAGCCTCCGGAGTAGCTGGGACTACAGGCGTCCATCACTACGCCCAGCTAAGTTTCGTGTTTTTAATAGACACAGCGTTTCACTATGTTGGCCAGGATAGTCTCGACCTCTTGACCTTGTGATCCACCTGCCTCAGCCTCCCAAAGTGCTGGGATTATAGGCGTGAGTCACTGCTGGGCCTGGTCATTTAATTTTTTTAGTAGACACAAAGTCTTGTTATGTTGCCCAGCCTGGATTCAAGCTCCTGAGCTCAAGGAATCCTCCCACCTCAGCCTCCAGAGTAGCTGGATTAAGTCACTCTTGTTCATAAACCTCAGTTGCTTCATAAATCTTGATTTCTGCTTGATTTCAGTGCTTGCTGTTTGTACCCTTGTGTACTGTATAGTATTTATTGATACAACGTTTGTGACTCAGATGTATCCACTCCAGCCTGGAAGTAGGACATACTAATTCTGTTGGTTGTGGCTTGCCTTTTTCTTTACTTTGCATGCATTTATGTCTTAATGCTGCATCTATTAGGATTTGTTGTTTTTATCACAGATTTCCCATTTTTCCGAAAAAATACAGTACTTAGGAATAATGGAGAACCAGGTAAAGTAAAAAGGTTTGTATACTTCATGAATTTCCAGTAAGTACTCTTTGATTGATAACAGCAGCAAAGGAAAACAAACGGTCGGTGCTGATGCTTATTTTCAGGAGCATTTTGTTTCCAGTTGGCAGCAGGATGCTTCCTCATGTCAGTGATTTTCTGTTGAGACAACTTCAAGTGTAATCTTAACGTCTGCTGGTTAACATTTGTTCAGATTTGATTGTAGTTAATCAAAGTTACAGTAAAAGGAATTTCCTTTGGGCTCATGGCTTATGTGGCCATACCATTCCGTGTGTGTGTGTGTGTGTGTGTGTGTGCGCGTGCGTGCGCGTGTGCGTGCGTGTGCGCCGGGGTCATCCACGTTTCTGTTTCTGAATTGCTTTGGAGAAGGCAGTTCAGTCTCCACGGAATTCGACAGTCTCAGTGTGAAGCTTTTTCGCACTTTTGCAGTGGTTGTAGCAGGGACAGTGTCTAACAGGACCTGAAATAAGTGATGTGAAAGGAGCTGAGTTTGAAGTACATATTGATGCTCCATAAAGTGTGTGTATATGTGCTGTTTTTAATTTAATTCATTTGATATAATGTGTTGTAGTTTTAGTTGAATTGAACTAATAAAACTGTTGGTGAGATGGTATTTCAGCTACTCTGTATACAGATAAGCTCTTTTGTTACCACCTAAGTTTTTGTTACTGAATATGTTAAAATTAAGATTCATCTATTTTCTCTTATTGTAGCTATGTGGAAAAAAACGTGGAAAAAAGACTTGATCGTGTGTGTTTGTGCTTGATTTTAGAAGACCCTTTTGAGGAGTTCTTTGGGAATCGAACGGGTCCTCGAGGAGGCAGAAGCCGAGGGACAGGGCCGTTCTTCTCTGCCTTCAGCGGGTTCCCACCTTTTGGAAGTGCATTTCCTTCTTTTGATACAGGTATTAAATCCCTAGATTTAATCTCTTGTTGCCTTAACAAAACATTTAGTACTTATAAGCATAATAGTATTTTAGTTAGAGCACTTGAAAATTCATGTATATCCCCCCATCCCCCCCTTTTTAAAGATGGAGCTTTGCTCTTGTTGCCCAGGCTGGAGTGCAGTGGCCTGCGGCAACAAGAGACGGGGTGTCACCATGTGGACCAGGATGGTCTCGATCTCTTGACCTCGTGATCCGCCCACCTCGGCCTCCCAAAGTGCTGGGATTACAGGCTTGAGCCACCGCGCCCGGCCCCCGCTTTTTTTTCTTTTCTTTTTAAAGACAGAGTCTCACTTTTAGTGAGTGCCACTCTTAGTGTAGTGGCATGATCTTAGCTCACCACAACTTCCTGCCTCCTGGGTTCAAGTGATTATTGTGCCTCAGCCTCCTGAGTAGCTGGAATTACAGGTGTGTACCACCAGGCCTAGTTAATTTTTGTATTTTTAATAGAGACAGGTTTTGTCATGTTGGCCAGGCTAGTCTTGAACTGACCGCAGGTGGATCCGCCTGCCTCGTCCTCAAAGTGCTGGGATTACAGGCATGAGCCATCACATGTGGCCTGGAGCTGTTGTTTTGATTCTCTTCGTTTTTATGTTTAAACCTTAACGGTAAGAATTGGGAGAGCTCTTTATATAGCGTTCCTTCCTCATAAGGTCAGAGTTCTGTTTTCTTTCAACATTGTGCTTATGCAGCTAGGCAAATAGTGAAGTCTGCTAGACTGGACCTCAGTTTGGATGTGCTTTCCTCCCCTCAGCAGAGCCTCTCCTTGATACGATGGAATATGCTGACCACAGGTTAAGAAAACTAGTTAAAAATACCACGTGAATAGTCCTTTTTAAAAGTAATCAGTGGCTCCTGTGTGTGGGGGTGTTGTGCAGCAAGGCGTCCCCACTCCTGAGGTGCCTTACAGAGTATCACAAGAATTGGTACTTAGGCTTCATCTAGACCAGCGCAGCAGCCACCAGCCACGCGCAGCTCCTGAGCCCTGGAGGCTTGGCGACTCCACATGGAGATCAGCGTGAGTGAAACAGTCACTGGTTTCCAAAGACTGACCATGGAAAGCAGTGTAAAATACCGCGAACGATTGATTTTTTTATATTTCCAACTGAAACATTCTGGATATTCTGTATTTAATACTAAAATTAATTTCACTGGTTTCTGCTTTTTAGTGAAATCGTTAGAAAAGGTAAACTTAACATAGCCAGCTCACATATTTCTTCAGGACAGCACCAGTCCTAGACAGTATCAGGGCGTAGGTGATTGAATCATGTTCAGAGGTATGTGTCATTTGTGTTAATGTGAGCATTTTGGAAGCAGCATGAGTGTAAAACTCTAATCAGTAGACCAGCATTAATATCAAAAAAGGTTTGCTTTAGTATGACTTGTGAAGTTTTTTAGTGGCCACACGGCGATTGTGTTCATAATGTAGAATTGAAAATGGTGTCTGTGAACTGTAGAACCATAGTTTTTTCAGATGAATACTTGTAATATTCTCTCTCAAATTAGTTTTTAAAATAATTTAGATTCTTATTTCCTGTGGCAAAGCGAAGGGAAGCCGGTTAGGTTTGCTATTCTGTGGTGGTGAGGTTACTCTGTTCGTGCAGGATAAGGATATTCATCACAGCCCATGGAGTTTACGGGCCACACCAAAGCAAACACAGCTTTGTATTGAGGCTTGTCTGCTGGTTGGAGCTTAATACCGGTCCTGGTTCCAGAAGGTTCACATGAACGCATATTACACGTGCTACGTCGTGCCAAGCAGACCACCCACAAGCAGGGGTGGGCTGTGGCATGTTGGCAGAGCTGCTCAGGTCCACTGAAGCTCTGCGTGAGGAGACAGAGCGGCTGCACCGAAGCTCTGTGTGAGGCAGGGGGAGGCCGTGTTCTTGTGCCCCTCTAGAACCCTCCCTGAGGGATGCGAGAGGGTCTTCTCCCCGGGACCACAGCACTTCCCCAGAGGCCTTGCTAGTGGCGTGGTCTTTTACGCGTCGGTTCCATGTCTTAACATTAGATAGTCTACTACTGAATTTTCAGATCCACTCTTTGCAGTAGTAATGACATACTTCTCTAAGCATTTTTCTTTTCTGTTTTCCTGTAGGATTTACTTCATTTGGGTCACTGGGTCACGGAGGCCTCACTTCATTTTCTTCTGCGTCATTTGGCGGTAGTGGGATGGGCAACTTCAAATCGATATCAACTTCAACTAAAATAGTTAATGGCAGAAAAATCACTACAAAGAGGTACTTTCATATTTTTAGTAAGCAGGCATAACGTTTCACTGGTGCCCTGTTGCACATCTCCCAGTGTGAAGTTACACAGGTGACTGTATGCCAAATCTGGCACTGTGAAAAATCTTTTACTCCAAATTCATTCATTAAGGCTTTTTCTCTTAAGTTAATGTTGATTTATTAGAAGGAATCTTTAGAGCCATATTTTATGTGTAGTAATAATATTTAATAAGTTTCTGCAGCAATGGTAAAATGGAAAATCATTAATAATAAAGCCTTTACTGTTTGATCTGTGCCTTTATTTAACATTCACCTGAACAACTGAATGAGTGAGTATGTGAGACACAATTTGTTTTTGTCAGGATAATTCTGTTTTAGAAAAGGAACATGTATTGTTCACAGGTTGGCTTCAGCCATGTTTTTTCATCCTAGAAATTATACTTACATTCATGGTGTACTGCAGTAATGTCCTTAAAAAATACTTATTTACCCTCAAACGCATGTATTTATCTTACCAAAAAGGTTTTTAAATAATTTTTTTCCTATAGAATTGTCGAGAATGGTCAAGAAAGAGTAGAAGTTGAAGAAGACGGCCAGTTAAAGTCCTTAACAATAAATGGTAAGGAGCACCTGCTGCACTTGGATAACAAGTAATTCAACGCACGCGCTTAACAGAAATGTTAAACTATAACAAGCAACCATTTGAGGATTAACAGGAACATTTTTTTGAAGATTTCAAACGAACTCGACTTTCAGTATAATTGTACTTAAAGTATTTATAAACAGCTCATCGGAGCCTCTATTTGTCATAGACTTTTGAGTTTATTGTTGGGACCACATAATAGGACCATTTTTTTTTTTGTCTTTAAAATTGTTGTAAATCTCTGTATGCACTTTGCTTTTTTATTAAACGTACTCCAAGGTGAGTCTTGACTCTTTAGTGTAGGACAAGATTGTACACTAACACCAGCATGGACCTGCTTTTCATTGTGTCTGAGACGTGAGCCACGTAGTGTCGGCCTGCTGTGAAGTTAACATTGCCAGGACGAATCTTCTACAGAAATAATTTCCATTTTTTCAGTATTTAGTAGTGAAAGATATTAATGCATTAATGGTAATACATTTCTGGTTTAATATAAATTACGGATGTTTCCTAGTTGTGCATGAATGCTGGCAACTTAGTAAGTTTTGACAATTGTTTAAATTTGTAATGTTAAGCTTAGGTTTAAAAAAGTAACGCTGGTAAACCGGGTCTTTGTCATTTGCTTTAAAAAAAAAAAAAAAAAGAAAATAAATGCGAATGTGTTGGTGCATTCTTCCTGAGTGGGATCTGGAGCCTTCTTGTGTCTGTGTATGATTTGTGCCTGGGCTTACCTAGTGTCACTTCCATAGCGTTTTGTGATGTTCATTCAGGTGGATGCCGCACCTCAGTTACATGTAGACATTTTCTTCAGTATATTTGGAATATATGAAGATTTTCATATTGAAAGTTGTGATTTAGCAATTGATCAAACATTTAATTACAGTAAAATTTCTGCAGAGGTGGGAAGAAACCATTGTATAATTTTTCACTCTTAACGTATGTTCTAGTTTTTAGGATTTGATGTAAGATCACTTATGGAGCGAGGTGCCATGGCTTACTCCTGTAATCTCAGCACTTTGGGAGGCCGAGGTGGGTAGATCACCTGAGGTCGGGAGTTTGAGACCAGCCTGACCAAGATGGTGACCTATCTCTACTAAAAATACAAACATTAGCCGGGTATGGTGGTGGGCACCTGTAATCGCAGCTACTCAGGGGGCTGAAGCAGGAGAACTGCTTAAACCCGGAGGCAGAGGTTGCAGTGAGCCGAGGTCACGCCACTGCACTCCAGCCTGGTCACAGAGGGAGACTCTGTCTCTCAAAACAAACCAAAAAACCCCACTTATGAACAGTATGTATGGTACAGTCATGGAATGATTTAGGAGTGAGCAAAAATAAAGGTATTTCTTTTGTTTCTCAGTTTGTAGTATCTTTCATGATTACCATTAGTAACTAGAATTCTAGCCATGGTGAATATTGAACTAGACTTTGAATTTTAAAAACTCTGTTTTGTTTTGGAACTAAGCAGTTTGAAAGGTGCTGGAAGGATGGACGCTGGCCTGACAACAGCACGTCCGTGCTGGCTTAGCAGGAGCAGGAGGGCATAGAGATTGCTCAGGATACGCCAGCGCCTTTAAGGAGCCCGATGTGCTGTCACCCAGAATAAGTAAGCAGTGTAAGGCATTTCATAGGCGCTCAGAGCAGCTTAGCAACAGTGAAGTATTTGGGGACAGCTGAACTACAAGAACAACAACGAATGATGTGCTTGTCTGTTTATCGGAGATACCCTGGCACGCGGCACTTGGCATCTCTGGGTAAGGTAGGTATGCAGCCATGGCACATGCAGGAGAGCGGGAAGCGCCCTCTGGTGTGGTCAGTCTCACCTCACAACTGGAATCGGAGGGTTATAGAGCGTCCTTGCTTATGCTGCCTGGACAGGTGGTGGCTTTGTTACTAAATGAGAAATTCGAGTAGATACTTTGGACTTTAAAGGTTTTATATTTTTCACTAGTGGGTAGGATAAGTCAGTGCAGCAGCCTCAAGACATCTAGGGGTGTCCAGAAAGAATACGTAAAATGAAAAGTCCTGTCTATCCCGTAATTGCTGAAGTAAACTAGGAAGAAGTTTGCCATAGCTTTGGGACCACAAAATTTTCAAACACATTTGGATGTTCTAGACTTTGTGGAGTGTTTTATGCAACTCTGTCCGTGAACAGTTTGTTCAACATGATGTCACTGGTAAAATACGTTTGACTCCTAAGGAATCTTTCTGGTGAAAATTTTGAGGGGGGAGACAGCATTCATTTGCATTTGAGAAAATCACCTTTTTTTTTTTTTTTTTTTTTTTTTTTTTTAAATTTTGTGATGGAGTCCTGCTCTGTCATCCAGGCTGGAGTGCAGTGGCGTGATCTTGATTCACTGTAACCTCTGTTATAACCTCTGCCTCCTGGGTCAAGCAGTTCTCCTACCTCAGCCTCTTGAGTAGCTGAGATTATCTCTGTGTGTTACCACACACGGCCAATTTTTGTGTTTTTATTAGAAACAAAGTTTTACCACGTTGTCTAGGCTGGTCTGCAACTCCTGACCTCAAGTGATCTGCCCACCTCTGCCTCCCAGTGCTGGAATTACAGGCGTGAGCCACTGTGCCTGGCTGAGGAAGTTTTATTCTGTTCTTCCTTTCATAGAAGTGTAATTTTTTAAAGTTACTAATAGAATAGGAAACATATTTGTTGCTTTCGAATCTTACACCTTTGATTTTTAAACCCTATTAAGTTTATTCCTAGAGAATTTAGTCTTAAGTGTGCATGAGAGCAGCTTTGAAAAGTTAGGAAACTGCTTTGAGCATTGATAGCATTGCTCAAGCAAGTGATGACTTGGAAGAAGAATAATCGCGTTTAATGTAAATCACAGTTTTTGGTAAATTTGGCACTCTTTCTGTAGTGTTGAGTGCCTTTGAAAATAGGAAGCTGAATGAACGCTCCTTTGTAAACGGCGGTGGGTATCTGGGTGTGCGAAGCCCCATGTGGTCCAGACCAGTGTGTTGTCTGTTGTTTGGTTGTGTGCAACTTTCCTGTTTGAGATTGTTTTTCAAGTTTTATTTTGAAATTCTTTATTTAAAGGATGTTTTAGTAGCTTTTATGTAAGTGTAGATGGTGGTGAGTTCTGAGATGCTGGTGCTCCTGTCACCCCAGCACTGTCTGTTGTACCCACAGTGTCGTTTTTTCATCCTCTTTGGCATCTTTTTGTCTGGGGGGCTCAGTAGTCTGTAGTTTTGTCATCTCTGCCGTGTTTTTGTATTCCTTCTATTTGGGCTCAGGAAGGGTTTTAAATAATCTGTGGAAGCTGTCAATAGTGACATCGTGGGCAATGCGTCCTTCCTCTTGGGAAGTTCAACGAGATTTTAGAAGTGGGAGAGTTAGCGTCAACACTTGCTAAACTTGGCTGTGCACCTAGTGTGCTGAAGGAAGTGTTCTTTACAGTGTGGTAATGCGTGAGGAGCACTGTGGGGTGAGGGTCTTTCCAGTCAATGTGAATTTCTTTTGATTAATTAAAGCTTTAAAAATGCCTGCTTTTCCTGTTTTGATTACCTTCCAAGTATCATTTCTCTCTCCAGGGAATACTGATCTTGTTTTTCTTTTAAGCACCACAGAATTAATTAGAAACATTTTTATTTGCAGAGGATTCAACAGTAATAAGTAATTGGCATGTAATCTGCTGTTGATTGGCAGCGGTGTTGAAATTTAGCCATTAGCATGTTCAGTAACAGAATAGAGGCAGATGTTTTTATTTCTGGAGGTTTTCAAGCACAACGTTGTGTTGAGTTGACATTGTAGGGTCTAGAAGGGGTTGAACTGCATAACCCACTGCCATTCTTTATTTTAAAAAGTGAAGGCATGAGATCGTCTTACTGTTTGGGGTCTTGGTTTCCAGGCCTTTGGATATGGTCTTCCTAGCTGTTCTAGGATGTGGGGTAACTGGATGTAGACCTTGGTACTAAGGTGTGACCAATGGTTGAAATGGGATAGACTGAAGCTGTCATTTGGCCAAGTTACTTTGTCTTCCTGTTTAGAAAGGTGAAGAGGGAATGTCACAACAGCTCTTCCTCTTTCCATCTAGAAATCTAGATGTCCTTGATTTCCAGAGATGGCAGAGTTTATGATTGGGTATCAGAAGGCCTGGCTTCTGTGCTGTGGTCCATATTTGCTGCCTTTTTGCAAGGTGTCAGTCTGTCTTACCTAACTGTTCACTAAGGACTCAACTCTGAGCTTTGTGACCAGGGTAAGTTGCAGACTCGGGAGACCCCCCCCCCCCAACTGTGCTTTTCCCTGTACCCTGATTTGGACAAGATTCCCGCCCTGGAGTGCAACCCCACAGGAAGGCAGGTCCTGGGAAGGCAGTAATTCTTGTCTGTCTTGCTGCTGCTGTGTCCTGGCAGTGGTACCCTGGAGGCATCCGTGAGTGCTTGCTGTGGAAACCCAGATGCTGGTGGCCGTCCCACAGGCCTTGATTCAGATGCCCTGGCCCGTGGCTGCCTGGAGCGTAGCGCGCAGGGGCTCCCTCCCCGCATCTGTCCTGCGGTGCGACCAGCGGCCCAGCCTGCTGCTGGAGGCTTGCCATGTGGACCTCAAGGAGCTACAGCTTGGCTCCCAAAATTGTCCCCTCTGGGAGCCCTGACTAGTAGTGCTGATGCCACCGTCTCCTCAGCGCATCCTTTCCCCCCCTGTTCTGGTCTCTCTCAAACAGGGCAGCACTGCCATCCCATTCCTCCACCTTGCCCTTAGTCTTCCCGCCATCCGGCTCCTGAATGACTGCCACTCAGGCACTGGTGGAAAATCGCTTCAGAAGCGGAGAGACCCGGAGGTCTTCGGAGGGAGGTTGGGTGCTGAAACATGGCTGCAGAAGCGTCACCCAGGGGATGTGGTTTGCTCTCCCTGTGGTCAGCGTTGTGATACGAACTCTGAGAGGTGACCTTTTTCTCTGTCTTCCCAGAGCTGCCCTGAGTTAGCAAGAAGTGCTGAGCCTGAGGGCAGGGTCGGATTG